AGTACTGCTTTAGAAGGAATAAAGATAATAGTACTTTAAGAATCTCCAAGCAATGTTCTGTGGAATAAAGTTCGGATGGCGTGGAGGAAATGCTGACAAAGGAAAAACCTAATGAGCTATCTAGTATAGTATAGTATAGTATAGTATAGTATAGTATAGTATAGTATAGTATAGTATAGTATAGTATAGTATAGTATAGTATAGTATAGTATAGTATAAGGTCATATGAGCGCAATGAGCTATCTATCTGACTTTCCTTACTCCAGAAGCTTAAAAAAAGAGGGATAACTCTTGATGTTTCCACCTGTCTCTTGGAGTCATTCTTGTGGCAATTAGCCTCCATTGTGAGCTACAGAAGCCGCCCCAGTGAAAAAAATCGTGAATTCCAGGGTTTTTTTAATTAGGTTTTTTTGCGGTAAAACTCAAAAGGGATCAGAAACCTGTCCCGGCAAAACTGTTTCTCAATTATTGGAATGTCAATTGGTCACTTTTAAGGACAAGCCGGCTAACCCAGATTTCGGGGGTTTCCAGAAATCTTGACCTACACCAAAAGTGAGCATTGCCCTACCTATAGGAGAAGTTTGGTTTCATTGGTGTGTATATTTGTTTGGTTTTAGAGAAAACTCTCCTTGTCTTTTCAAGAAACTGAACAAGGGACAAAAACTTTATCTTTGATTTTCTCAAAACAATATTTTTCAGGATAGCTCCCTTATGCTTAAAAGCGACCAATTGTGGGTAGGAAAGGGAGGTAATTTAACTTCTGCAAGATTTCCAATTGTAATGGGATGAAACCCAGCACAGGAGAATGAAATAAACAGGAAAAAAATAAAAAACAAAGCAAAATGTTGATGAAAATGTTTTTACACACAGAACAGGAATTGTTGGGAAATGGGGGGGAGGGGGAGGGTGGGGGTTGTCAAGGCAAAGTGAACAAACAGAGACAGGAGGGAACTCAGAACTCGGATCCACCTTCTGCATCAGCGCTCCTGTTGTCTGGACAAAGTCAGAGGATGTCATTACATCAACAGTTTGGATACAAGTGCTACAAGAAATTTGGGAACATCAAACCGATGACATTTCCCCCTCCCACTTCCGTCCTCAGCCCCCACCCCTCTCACCCCACTCAACCCCCCCCCCCCACACACACACACACACTCCACATATATAGTCTGCAAGCTGTCCAAATGTTCTCAGCCTTGAGAGAAATTTTTAAATATTTTTTTAAAGGAGAGAGACTAAACCGTTTCCCTCGTTCAACAACTGAACTTACTTCCTGTATCTTTCCTGGCCTTATTCAACCTCTAGAATGTAGAATCTGACCAAACATTTCTGGAGCACATTATGCAGCCACTACCACAGACCAACAAAGTGCAATTAAAAGGAAAAAAATCAAAATGTGAGGCTTTGTATGGCAGAACAGCTGGCTGACAATTTTCCGCGTCAAGGAGGTTTCTAGTATTTTATAGGCCTATATATTTATGAAGGAGGTTTCTAGTATTTTATATACATTTATGAAGGAGGTTTCTAGTATTTTATATATATTTAAGAAGGAGGTTTCTAGTTTTTTATATATATTTAAGAAGGAGGTTTCTAGTATTTTATATATATTTAAGAAGGAGGTTTCTAGTATTTTATATATATTTAAGAAGGAGGTTTCTAGTATTTTATATATATATTTAAGGAGGTTTCTAGTATTTTATATACATTTCTGAAGAAAAGATTTTTAATCTAGCCTCAAATGTTCTGGAAAATGTGGTTAAGTTAAGACAAACTGATACAAACTGATGTGCAAAGTGTGGGTGACATTGATTCTCCCGTTAAAAAGATATTTGAGGATAAGTTGCAATATGAATTTTTGACCGCTTTATAACCATATAATTAGGAGAATAAAGTGAAATGATTGTTCATATATATATATATATATCCTAACGACAGAATTAATGGCTGAAGCAAAACATTCTCCACATACCACCCAGCCCACTCGGAGAAGGTAAACACAAACGACAACCATGACTCACTTTGCTCTGAATGCTGACGTACTTGGATGAGTCCTCGCTGGGGAACACGTTCACGCCCGCTTTCTTCATCATCTGACAGAAACATGGACGAAACACAACATAACTCCACCATTACTTCCTTCATCATCTGACGGAAACATGGACGAAACACAACATAACACCACCATTACTTTCTTCATCATCTGATGGAAACATGGACGAAACACAACATAACAGCACAATTACTTTCTTCATCATCTGATGGAAACATGGACGAAACACAACATAACAGCACAATTACTTTCTTCATCATCTGATGGAAACATGGACGAAACACAACATAACAGCACAATTACTTTCTTCATCATCTGACGGAACATAGACAACAACGCAAACATAACACCACCAGTACTCATACTAAAGAAACACAGTGCCACCTCAGTGCTTTCTTGTCCTATCTCCATTTTTCAGGGGCTCCAGTGGCTAAGTGAGTAGTGAGTTTTGACTCAAGCAATGTCAAGCAAGTGTTGGTGACACAGGGATCAGATGGGAGGTCACTGGAGTGTGTCCTTGAGCAAGACACGACAACCCTAGCTCAAATTACAGGGGGCTGCACAGTGGCGACCGACAGTGGCAGGGTTGTAAACTGTTCTGTACTGGTGTAATATTGTGCATTAAAGATTTATGTTTGTATTTGTGCATGTATTTATGTATGTATGTATTTATAATTATGTATTTACGTAAGTATGTATGTATAACGCATGTATGTCTGCCATTGTAAACCAAACTACCCTTCTGGGATCTATATAAGTGTAATTGATTTTTTAAAATTAACAGTGAAAATGTGACTTCTTCTTAAGTTCACTCTTTGTTATGTACTGTTTTCCCTGTAATTAAAACTGGAGATAGGACAAGAAAGCACAGAGGTCGAGACATGCCCTAAAATACCACTCTCTTCGTAAACTTGTACAAATCTGCGTAAATAAGAAGTCAAACAAAGACAGACCTGAGAAGTGAGATCAGTTTTAAAATATCATGTTGGACATTCAGGAACCAGTTACTGACAGTTAGGCCTACACGGAAATCCACAGTTCAGTTTTACCAGAAAAAAAAGGGTCCAATTACGGAAAGTTGATTTGAAAAACTTTAAAAGTTGGCTGGGGGGAAAAACATATTTTTCTGTTGATGAACTTTTGACAGCTCTAGAATACCCAGTCCCTACCACGATGACACAAACCAGATAAGAGAGTACCCAGTCCCTACCACGATGACACAAACCAGATAAGAGAGTACCCAGTCCCTACCATGACACAAACCAGATAAGAGAGTACCCAGTCCCTACCATGACACAAACCAGATAAGAGAGTACCCAGTCCCTACCACGATGAGACAAACCAGATAAGAGAGTACCCAGTCCCTACCATGATGAGACAAACCAGATAAGAGAGTACCCAGTCCCTACCATGATGAGACAAACCAGATAAGAGAGTACCCAGTCCCTACCATGATGAGACAAACCAGATAAGAGAGTACCCAGTCCCTACCACGATGACACAAACCAGATAAGAGAGTACCCAGTCCCTACCATGACACAAACCAGATAAGAGAGTACCCAGTCCCTACCACGATGAGACAAACCAGATAAGAGAGTACCCAGTCCCTACCACGATGAGACAAACCAGATAAGAGAGTACCCAGTCCTTAGCATGACACAAACCAGATAAGAGAGTACCCAGTCACTACCACCATGACACAAACCAGATAAGAGAGTACCCACCATGATGAGCTCCTCCGGAGGGACCCACTTGTTGCGGATGTCCTCCAGCTCGGGTTTGTCGTGGGGCTGCGTCAGACAACACAGCGCGTCCTGCACACACATCACGTAAAACATGGATTAGATTGGGGTTTATTGTTGTTTGGTTTTTCTTTTATTTAGGGAGAGTTTGACGGCATTTGCTAAACAAACAGGTCGTATAAGTGCGGGAGATCAGAGGCGTTCATCGAGGGTAGCACACACATCGCAAAACATGTATTAGATTTGTTTTTGTTTTGTTTAGTGAGAGTTTGACGACATTTGCAACACAGACAGGTTGTATAAGTGCAGGAGATCAGAGGCGTTCATCGAGGGTAGCAGACGCAGAGAAGATGGAGGAGAGAGAGGACACCAGAATATGTCTGTGGGCCAAGAGTGAAGAAGCAACTCATTTTTGTCAGCACACAATGTTCCATTCTCCGACTGATATCTCTTTAATGTTCCGTTATCGGTTAACTCAAAAGTTACGGATGTGTCGTTCAAATGTGTCGTTTGAGCTCTCCGTGCCTGACTGTATTAAGCTGTTCCTTACCTTGATCTCAATCTCAATCTCCACGATTGCGGCAATGATTGAGAGCACGGCACTGTTGAGCTTGTGTGGGCGTATCTCCCACGACTGGAAGGGCATGTTGATGTGGGTGTCCTGTAACAGGGCCATGGTGCCGAAACTGTTCATCTTGAACGACAGACTTCTGGCATCTGTCGGATAAACAAATAGGGCAGTTTATATCAGGCTACAGATGCAAACACCGGTACAAATAGTTTATCTTGAACGACAGACTTCTTGCATCTGTCAGAAGAAAGAATAGGGCAGTTTATATCTTGTTTATATCATGCTACTGATGAGAATAGGGCAGTTTATTATAATGCTGCTGATGAGAACACCACTACAAACAGCTTGTCTTGAAGGATAGACTTGTACCAATCGTGAGACAAAGAGATACAGATGTTCTAGAAGGCTATCGATGAGAAGACCTCTGCAGACAGCACATTATAATAAATAACATTTGTTCAGCCCACGTCCCCATCGACGGTAAGCTTAGTGTACTTTACAATCACATTATCACCCCAGCAGGCCATAAAACACTTACAGACATTTTCAGTTTCTTGGGAAGCATACAGGGCAAGCAGATGATTAACCTCTCACACACTAACAAACTGACTTGATCTTTCGCTATCTATAGATTCTAAAGATATTCAAAGTTGGCTACTTTTGACGTGAGACAAACAGAAAACGTGGATACCAAGTAGGAGCGAGCTTGGACCAACCTTCGTTGTAGTTGACGTCTGAGGTGTCCTTTGTGCTCCAGAACTTCCTGCTGTAGTCCCACAGGGCCACCTGAGGCTCCTCCAGGAACAGAACGTCTTTTGGCAAACTGTGGAGTGCAATAACACAAGCTCATTACTGTATCGGTAAAACTGAGGAGTGCATTCACACAAGCTCATTACTGTATCGGTAAAACTGAGGAGTGCATTCATACAAGCTCATTACTGTATCGGTAAAACTGAGGAGTGCAGTCATACAAGCTCATTACTGTATCGGTAAAACTGAGGAGTGCAGTCATACAAGGTCATTACTGTATCGGTAAAACTGAAGAGTGCAGTCATACAAGGTCATTACTGTATCGGTAAAACTGAAGAGTGCAGTCATACAAGGTCATTACTGTATCGGTAAAACTGAAGAGAGCAATAAATCAAGGTCATTACTGTATCGGTAAAACTGAGGAGTGCAGTCATACAAGCTCACTACTGTATCGGTAAAACTGAGGAGTACAGTCATACAAGCTCATTACTGTACTGGTAAACTGACCAAAGGCCATTACAGAAGCGGTAAAACTGAAGAGAGCAATAATACAAGGCTATTCATCATCATCATCATCACTATCCAGTGCCAGATCTGCGACAGACATCAGCGATCATGGTTCACCATTCATTCCTTTGCTCGGATGCCTTCAATTTTGCCAGTGAGAGCTAGATGTTCAAGACCTTTGTGTCTATTCAGGTGTCCCAAAAACTGCATTTGTCGTTTCCTGATTGTTTTTAACATTGAGCGTCCCACGTGGGCTTCATCAAGCACTACTTCATTTGATTTCTTTTCTTTCTACGATACTTTTAGCAGTCTCCTAAGAAACCACATTTCTGTTGCTTCTATTTTATTTTCACTGTCTTTAGTGATTGTCCAGCATTCACAGCCATATAGAAGGGTTGACCAAACATAGCATTTCAGGACTTTCATTTCGGTGTTCCTTGAGATGTTTCTATTTTTCAGGATTGGGCTCATTTTATGGAAACAAACCTTAGCCATTGCAATTCTCCTTTTTATTTCTGTGGAACATTTGACGTCAGATGCTATCATATATCCAAGAAAATATTTAAACTGTTGGACTGGTTCTAGGATTTGCTGCTTTTACTGAACGGCTAAACTGACTGGTACAATAACACAAACAAGGCCATTACTGAACGGGTAAACTGACTGGTACAATAACACAAGGCCATTACTGAACGGGTAAACTGACTGGTACAATAACACAAACAAGGCCATTACTGAACGGGTAAACTGACTGGTACAATAACACAAGGCCATTACTGAACGGGTTAACTGACTGGTACAATAACACAAGGCCATTACTGAACGGGTAAACTGACTGGTACAATAACACAAGGCCATTACTGAACGGGTTAACTGACTGGTACAATAACACAAGGCCATTACTGAACGGGTAAACTGACTGGTACAATAACACAAGGCCATTACTGAACGGGTAAACTGACTGGTACAATAACACAAGGCCATTACTGAACGGGTAAACTGACTGGTACAATAACACAAGGCCATTACTGAACGGGTAAACTGACTGGTACAATAACACAAGGCCATTACTGAACGGGTAAACTGACTGGTACAATAACACAAGGCCATTACTGAACGGGTAAAACTGACTGGTACAATAACACAAGGCCATTACTGAATGGGTAAAACTGAGAGTTAAAATCACTGGAGAGGTGAAAACTTAGAACGTATATAATGTACTTTATCAATAGAAAAATTCCTACAAACACACATGTATATATAAAAAAGTAGTGCCTTGGCGGTGTAGCCGGACAAACAGACGTAGCACTCACATCATACTGATGGTGATGGGAGGCTTCTCCTCCTTCTTCTCCTTGGCCTCCTTGTCTTTGCCGTTCTTCTCCTCCGCCACCACGGGGGGGTCGGGAACGTAGGACAGTTTGGTGATCTCTGGGGGGTCCACCACTGAGAGGGATACAGTCGTGGGAGGAGAATGGCAAATCAGGTCACCGACAAAATGTGGAAACAAATTATGGACACAATTAGGGAAACAATTTAAGGAAACAAATTATGAAGACAAATTCTGAAAACAAATTCAGATAATGTAATATTATGACAACAAATTCTGAAAATATTGAATTTCCTGTTGCTGTGATGGCAAATTTTCAACGACCTCATTAACACAATTTAGATTTATTTAGATTTATTCGAAAATAACAACACAGAGAAAAAAAATATTTAAACAGGAATTTTTAAAAAATGAATACAGTTAAAATTGAAAGGGAAAGCCTCAAGAGCCTACAACACCAAGTTCTCAGGCTGTAGAGGAAGAGGAAGCCCACACAAGAGGTAGATTGAGCGAGTCAAGAAAACCCTGAGAAATTTTAATATCCCAACTGAAAGAGATGCAGAGCTGGCCTACCATAGAAAACTGCATCTCACCTCGATGTTTAGCTCTTTAAACCCCATCAGACGCTGATGTTTAACTCTTTAAACCCCATCAGACGCTGGGATCGAGTGTCCAGTGGTAATAACCCTGTTCCCTATCGCTAGTTTCTGCTTGTTTTTCAGAACTATTCCCGAACCAAGTTTTTTAGTAATGACTAAGCTTTTGTTTCCGCCATTTAGAAGTTGGAGGCAAGCTTTTGGGGTTACAATGAGACATCGTGTGCCAGGTTTAGGTGACTGTAGAAACAACTCCGGGAAACCGTGGAAAAACTGAGGGATGAACACTTTGCCATCACAAGGCTCCTACAGTAAAACTCTTGCCATCAAAGGCAAAGGCATTTTGGGGAAAATCCAAAGAAACTGGGTGGTAAATATCGCTGATCTACGAGATGTGATGGCAAAGTGGTAAAGAGTTAACAGCAACAGAGTGTGATAAAGTACAAGTAAAGAAAAGGTACAGAGTTGAGACAAGCAACAAGGAAAGGTACAGAGTTGAGACAAGCTACAAGGAAAGGTACAGAGTTGAGACAAGCTACAAGGAAAGGTACAGAGTTGAGACAAGCTACAAGGAAAGGTACAGAGTTGAGACAAGCAACAAGGAAAGGTACAGAGTTGAGACAAGCTACAAGGAAAGGTACAGAGTTGAGACAAGCTACAAGGAAAGGTACAGAGTTGAGACAAGCTACAAGGAAAGGTACAGAGTTGAGACAAGCAACAAGGAAAGGTACAGAGTTGAGACAAGCAACAAGTAAAGGAAAGGTACAGAGTTGAGACAAGCTACAAGGAAAGGTACAGAGTTGAGACAAGCAACAAGGAAAGGAAAGGTACAGAGTTGAGACAAGCAACAAGGAAAGGTACAGAGTTGAGACAAGCTACAAGGAAAGGTACAGAGTTGAGACAAGCTACAAGGAAAGGTACAGAGTTGAGACAAGCAACAAGGAAAGGAAAGGTACAGAGTTGAGACAAGCAACAAGGAAAGGTACAGAGTTGAGACAAGCTACAAGGAAAGGTACAGAGTTGAGACAAGCTACAAGTAGAGCTGACATTGTGTGATGGTCCAGGAGCTGGCTGTTTTGGGCTGGGGCGGCATGTGTAGCAGGTCCACGTGGAACACGCCGCCCAGCACGTCGTTGGCGCGCAGGTCTACGATGTCGTCTTCCTCGTCAAAGTCTTCCCACTCCGTGGGCTCTGGGGACATCGGCAGTTGAACCAATCAGATCACAGGAGAAGAACTTTGAGTTTTTTTATGTTAGTAAGGAGAAGAACATCACTTACAAAATAGTCGGCCTATGTGTCCCGACGGACACGGTGCAATCAGGCGCTTGTCAATTTTGGGGCATACAGAGTAATTAGTATCATCTTAAATCCTGTCTATTTGTCTAGCTTTCGGTTTAGAAATACCCATCTATCTTGAATAGAAGTCAAGATATTTAAAGGAGGTGGGGTCACTTGGTTATAGATGTAAATGACCCATCACACTCCCTTTCCTTGCAAATTGTCAGATCACGCAGCGGCAGATATGTACCTCTAAAAGCAAACAAAGAAGGATATAAAAGAAGTTTTTTACCATCTAGCGTGAGGCTATTGTCAGAATAAACATCAGTGTGTATTGCTCTTTCGAGTATGTGTCTATATAACTCCAAAGTCTTGTAATTAAATTCCTGCATGTGGTTGAATGATGCATCTGATATGATGTGTACATTTTGTCAGCTTTACTTCTCTTTTCATATTGAATTTTAATGAGAGTAATAGATAATTAAAATGTTTATGTATACCTGCACGTGTTTTTACGGTCCTGTACAGCCAAGAAAAATTTCCCTCTGGGATAATAAAGTATTATCTTATCTTAAAAATTAGCAAGAAAATGGCTACCAAAGTTTGAGGAGTTCCAAAGCTTAAGAGTCCTTGAAAACTGAAAATGTCCACTTTGTGGGCCTTTAATCAACATTTTTCAGTAAAATCCGCAAAGAGATATGTTTTTAAATGGCCATGAAAGGTGTTGATGTTGAGCCAAAAACTAAAAATTCAATAAAATCTGCAGGCAAAACTAGTGGAAAAATGCAGGTTTATCAAAATTAAATGTAATTATATAGACGAGAGCCTGATTTTACCACGATGCCTCAGAAAACAAAACCAAGTCAGATCTGTGTCTGAGTCAGAGAAAAGCAAATGGACAAGATAAAACTTACCAACAATGAGGCAAAAGCAACACAGACATAAACAAAAAAGATTGATCCACAGTCAAGGAGCAGGATTTACCAACTGTGCCTTCACACTAAGCTAACAAAACTCTATCCCCTAGCCTTGAGAAACTCTGCTCATACACCAGTCAACAAATGATTTAAAAAACAGTATGACTTTCAGATCAGTAACACTTTCACAAGTCTACTTTGGCGGTGAAATAGAGGTAGTTTTGTAGGATCATCATGACGTTCAAAAGGCAGAACATAGAGTGCAACACACAACGCTGAAAGTCTATACTTAGAAAGGCAGAACAGAGAGAGCAACACACAACGCTGAAAGTCTATACTTAGAAAGGCACAACATAGAGTGCAACACACAACGCTGAAAGTCTATACTAGAAAGCCACTTTGCAGTAAGACCTCTTGTTGTTCAAAGTTCTCTGACAACATACCTGGGGTGGGCGGGTCTTCAAAATCTTCTTCATGAACCTCCTCCTCCTCCTCCTCCTCCTTCGGCTCCTCTTCCTCTCCTGACGATCCTCTGAGGGCTGCCATCAGATCCTGGGGACAGATTCCAATACAGGAGTAGAATTTGTTCCAGTACAAGTTTTCTACAGGAGTAGAATAGATTCCTATACAAGTCAGTTTTCTACAGGAGTAGAATAGATTCCTAAACAAGTCAGTTTTCTACAGGAGTAGAATAGATTCCAATACAAGCCAGTTTTTTACATGAGTAGAATAGATTCCATCTTGAAATGTACAGTCCATTAACAAAAGGCATCAGCCAACTTCGCACTGTGCCAGGTGTACTGCTGCGACAACGCAGGGTGAAGTGGGGTAAAATAAAGGTAAGGCTTTTTTCAACAGCTGGTTCCTTAGTGAGGAATTCCATCCCACTGTACTTAAGAGAGGTGGCTAGACAAGAATTTATTCAAATCTTTCTTTTACCAGCATGAAAGATGGGGGGGGGGACACGCTAAACAAACGTTCCAGCTTCTGGACAAGAAAGATTGATCTATCTCAGGGGCACACATCAAACCAAAGTTATCTCATCTCATCTCATCTGTTCTTCTCTGTTCTTTTCTTCCCTTCAACCTCACCTGTCACGGTCGGCCTGGATTGAGTGTGACTCACCATCCACGCAGACAGACGGAAATACTCAATAAAAAATTCTGCCACTTGGAATCAAACTCATGGCCTCTGCATGAGACAGCAAACAGCCTAACTATTACACCACAGACACCGAGCAGATATAATTTGTCAACTGTATCTGGATACCTGGATACCTGGATACCTGGAGGCGTCATCTCTGACTCAGATGATGACGTGCAATGACCCTCCATCCTTCACGATCGCGAGCTGCCGTTCCACATTCTGCCATATCCAGGCCAGTCCATGTTCTATGTTGTCCATCCATGTTATTCTTTGCCTTCCTCTGGCTCTCCTGCCCACATCTTTCCTTCAAGCACCTCTTTCACAATGGTCTCGTGTCTTTTTAAATGGCCATAGTATTGTATTTTTCTACATTTTATTTTGCTCAGCAAGCTCTGTCTTGTGTGTAGAATCTGACACACCTCAGGGTCTGTCTTGTGTGTAGAATCTGACACACCTCAGGGTCTGTCTTGTGTGTAGAATCTGACACACTTCTTTGTTTGTCTTTTTTTGTTTTCCAACTTATTCCAACCATTCTATGGTAGCACCACATCTCAACACATATTTATTTTGTTTTCTTCTTTCCTTGTCAAAGTTCAGGAAAACTGCACCAAACGCAAAAAATAGTAGAAAAAGAAGCAGACAACTCAGGAGCACTCAGCCACTACATAAAGGTTTCGTAGAGAAAGATTTCACCAAGCTCCCCAAGGCTGGCATAAAGGCTCAGCTCAGTGGACAAGGTGAATATGATCAAAGTCAACTTTACAAATCTCAAGCTCCAGAGAAATCCACCAACCAAAATTGGTCGCTTTTAAGGACAGGCGGGCTAACCCAGATTTCGGGGGTTTCCAGAAATCTTGACATACAGCAAAAGTGGGCACTGTTTTGTTTCTTTGGTGTGTATATCTGTTTGTTTATAGAGAAAACTCTCCTTGTCTTAAAGAAACTGAACAAGGGGCAAAAACTTTACCTTCAATGTTCTCAAAACAGCATTTTTCAGGATAGACCCTTTGTGCTTAAAAGCGATCTAATATATTGACCTCAGTCTTACCAGTTCTGTCTCCTCTTTCTCTTCCTCTTCCTCATTCTCTTCTCCTTCTTTCATTTCTTCACCTTCCTTTTCTTCTCCTTCTCCGTCCTTCTTTTCCTCTTCCTCAGTTTCCTCAGGGACTGGTAGCACTGTAAAGATAGAGAGAAAGTACAGATAGAGAGAAAGAACAGATAGAGAGAAAGTACAGATAGAGAGAATGTACAGATAGAGTAAAGATAGAGAGAAAGTACAGATAGAGAGAATGTACAGATAGAGTAAAGATAGAGAGAAAGTACAGATAGAGAGAATGTACAGAGAGAGAGAAAGTACATCATCCCTCCCTTTCCCCCTTCCCATTGCACCTTATCTCACCTCACCTCACTTCATCTCCCATCTTATCATGTCCCATCTCATCTCACCTCACTTCATCTCCCATCCTATCATGCCCCATCTCATCTCACCTCACCCCTCCTCCCATCCTATCATGTCCCATCTCACTTCACCTCACTTCATCTCCCATCCTATCATGTCCCATCTCACCTCACTTCATCTCCCATCCTATCATGTCCCATCTCATCTCACCTCACTTCATCTCCCATCCTATCATGTCCTATCTCATCTCACCTCATTTCATCTCCCATCCTATCATGCCCTATCTCATCAGCCTGAAAGTTAATCTTAAAAACAAACTGTAAATTCCACCAACTGCAGTCAAACCTATTCTAATGACAACCTGTCCAAGACAACCATCTGCCCAAGACAACCACCTGTCCAAGACAATCACCTGTACAAGACAACCACCTGCCCAAGACAATCACCTGTACAAGACAACCACCTGTCCAAGACAACCACCTGTACAAGACAACCACCTGTACAAGACAACCACCTGCCCAAGACAACCACCTGTACAAGACAATCACCTGTACAAGACAACCACCTGTCCAAGACAACCACCTGTACAAGACAGCCACCTGTACAAGACAATCACCTGTACAAGACAACCACCTGTACAAATGACCACTTCCCCCTTGTGTTGTTTCTTTACTAAACGACACTGTCCAAAACATCCACCTGTCTAAAACAATCACTTCTCTCTATCTAAAACAATCACTTCTCTCTATCTAAAACAATCACTTCTCTCTATCTAAAACAATCACTTCTCTCTGTCTAAAACAATCACTTCTCTCTATCTAAAACAATCACTTCTCTCTATCTAAAACAATCACTTCTCTCTATCTAAAACAATCACTTCTCTCTGTCTAAAACAATCACTTCTCTCTGTCTAAAACAATCACTTCTCTCTATCTAAAACAATCACTTCTCTCTGTCTAAAACAATCACTTCTCTCTATCTAAAACAATCACTTCTCTCTATCTAAAACAATCACTTCTCTCTATCTAAAACAATCACTTCTCTCTATCTAAAACAATCACTTCTCTCTATCTAAAACAATCACTTTTCTCCTTGACAAAGGGCACACTTCTAGAACAATATTGTCTGTCTCACCTTCTTCCTTTTTCTTCCTGCGAGGTATTGCGGCTTTGCTGGTCATGGAGAGGTGGTCAAACTTTGTGATCAGAACTCGCACAGCACAGTTGCTCAGTGCCAGGACTTTGGGAATGTCGAACGTGAGATTTACTTCTGTAAACTCATACTGTCGGATCCTGAAATACAGATTGGAGGCCACGACTATGAAAACTATCATAAACGTATTTTTTCAACAGATGAAGGAAGCTTATCAGAAAGATGTCTTTTCTGCAAAAAGAATCCTGAGCTTCAGGTAAGTTAACAAACAAATTAAAAATTATCTTAAAGAAGATGTGGAGTTTCACAAAACAGGCGAGTGACACAAAACGAACAATATTATATTACTTGCCTGTCCCAAAACTTGATCTAAAAGACACACATACTTTACAATTTTCATCACACAAACTGAGGCCATACTTAAGTTGAAATCGTTGGTTTCCCTGTACAATATTGCAAGATCACGTTAAGTTTACAAATGTAAAAAAGACCAATTGTATCATTGGTGACATTTGGTATTACTTCTTGTAGGATAGTACTTTTAGGAACTGAAGTATCATCTGTTACTTCTTGTAGGATAGTACTTTTAGGAACAGAAGTATCATCTGTTACTTCTTGTAGGATAGTACTTTTAGGAACAGAAGTATCATCTGTTACTTCTTGTAGGATAGTACTTTTAGGAACTGAAGTATCATCTGTTACTTCTTGTAGGATAGTACTTTTAGGAACTGAAGTATCATCTGTTACTTCTTGTAGGATAGTACTTTTAGGAACAGAAGTATCATCTGTTACTTCTTGTAGGATAGTACTTTTAGGAACTGAAGTATCATCTGTTACTTCTTGTAGGATAGTACTTTTAGGAACTGAAGTATCATCTGTTACTTCTTGTAGGATAGTACTTTTAGGAACAGAAGTATCATCTGTTACTTCTTGTAGGATAGTACTTTTAGGAACAGAAGTATCATCTGTTACTTCTTGTAGGATAG